AAAGGTCGCGCTGCCTCCTGTTCAACACAGTAGACCCAGACACTCCAGAACCATGAAGACCCTGGTGAGTTACCCTGGCTTGTTCTCTTGTGCTAAGATATTCACTATTTGTAGCTTTCAATAAAAAAATGAAATTGCTAATGAAATAAAATGTTATTGATCTTTTCTTAACATCACCACTTGAAGTAAGGTTTTGATTTTTACATAAAAAGTAGCATATTCTTAGCTTTAGGTTCTTTATCTTATTAACTAAAACGTATTATTTTAATGATAAAATGTTCTTAGATTCACTTTACCAGTTTTCTTGTGTGTAAATGCAGGAGAAACTTGTAGTATCCCGTTTCTTTGTGAGGATTATATTTATATTTAGCAAATTATTTTGTTTAAAAGAAGAAAGTTCACATTTCTCACGAATAATTACTTAAGAAAGCTTAACACCATCGGGTAACATGAGTGTCTTCTGGGAAAATACAATCATCACATCTTGATTATATATTTCATTGACACTAGCACATCATACCACACAATTTATATAAATATTTTTATTCATCCAACAGATCGTTATAGCATTCTTGGCTGCCATGTGCTTGGTGGCCACAAGCGCTGAGCCTTCCCCAGATGCCGAACCTGGTCACTTTAGAGGAGGTTACGGTGGAGGCTTCGGAGGAGGCTTCGGGGGAGGTTTCGGTGGTTTCAAAGGAGGATATCGTGGAAAGAGAAGTGCTGAAGCTGATCCAGAGGCTCTTGCCGAACCGGGACACTTCAGGGGAGGGTACGGTGGGGGCTTCGGTGGCGGCTTCGGTGGTTTCAGAGGAGGATATCGTGGAAAGAGAAGTGCTGAAGCTGATCCAGAGGCTCTTGCCGATCCCGGACACTTCAGGGGAGGGTACGGTGGGGGCTTCGGTGGCGGCTTCGGCGGTTTCAGAGGAGGATATCGTGGAAGGAGGAGTGCTGAAGCTAACCCAGAACCCGTTGCTGACCCAGGTTTCCACGGTCACAGAGGTTTCGGTGGAGGTTTCGGAGGATTTGGAGGGTTTGGAGGTGGAAAATATTATGGTTGATTATTTAATGACACGTCCGCTATTTTCCGTTTGACTGCTGCTCTGTATACCAAGTTTAATAATAAATAAATATGAATAATGCTATTATGAGAAACTGATCTATACTTTATCCAAATTAATATTGTGTGAAGGAACATATTACAAAGAACGTCTTTAATATAAAAAATTATTAAGTGCTCAACACTAATTTCTACTCTGAGTAGCAGAAATAGTACACTGAGAGCTGTACCGGGGTGGCTGGTGGTTATTGGGTACTAGGTACAACACACACACACACACACACACACACACACACACACACACACACACACACACACACACACACACACACACACACACACACACACACACACACACACACACACACACACATATATATATATATATATATATATATATATATATATACATATACTTATATTGCTGCTAGCTTTTCGAAGGAGTTGGGGTCTAAGCTAATCAAAACAACTAGAGACACTAGAGCTGCCAGTTTTCTTTTTCAGCGCCTTAGTGTGGCAATCCAGAGAGGAAATGCTCACTGCATCCATGGTTCTTGCCCGCCATCTGAGGAGCTGGAAGAGCTGTACAACTTGTGACAAGCAGCCTTGCACTCTGCATGTAATCAATAGTGTAACTTTTTTTGTGTAATGACATTTTCAAATAAAGTTAGATAAATATACACACATACCAAAAGAATAGGGGTGGTAGTATCCTCCTTATATATATATATATATATATATATATATATATATATATATATATATATATATATATATATATATATATATATATATATACTTATATAGGGCATCCCTGCCTGTTTGTCTGTCAAAGGTAAGAGGCCAGACGCCAGTGTTAGCCTCATTCAATTTTGCAGGACGAATAATCTGGGGAACGGGGCAGACATAGGCTGGTCGGCGTCAGTCCTATATTGTTCGTATTATGATAATAACAGGGAGCGTCAGGCCAGATAATGATTTGCTCCCACCAATTAAAATGTGGAATGTAGCTGGCCGAGGCCTTAAGTTTTTGAGTCGAAAATGACGTAATAATATTTTAATAAAAATAAGTCAGACAGAGAAAGATGAAGAAGGGGGATATTTGAAAAGAGTGAAGGAGAAGGAGAGTGGGACAGTTCTGGAGATGGGGAAAGAGGGAAGGAGAGGGGTAAGACAGGTGTAGAAGATGAAAGAGGGAAAGTGGGCAATAAAGATAATAGAGAAAGGAGATAAGGAGAGAAGTGGGGATGAGGTTTGAAATGGGGAGGGATAATATTCGTGAGAAAGGTGGAGAAAGTGTGATTAGGTAGCCAGAGGAAAGATAGTGGAGTTGGAGATGATGAAATGTATTAGATAAAGAAAGACAAATGAAAGAGTGGGATGAGAGACCCGAGCGCTACCGGGTAACCCTTCTTCCACCTTGAACAGTTCTAAATGAATGAAAGCTCTTGCTGTATACATTATTTAGTAGTCACTTACCATACCCCTTATAAAGTTCTACTGTTGACGATCCTTTTAGTGCCAGACTATTTGAACATCACTTAAAATACCAATACTTTAATTGCTGTTTACTACTTCTATAAATTGTTGAATTAATAGTTTACCCCTGCTATATCTTGTTCACTCAATAGTTTATCTCTGCTATAGATTCTTCAGTCAATACTACTTCAGCTATAATTTGCCCAGTCAATAGTTTACCTTTGCTTTAACCTGTTCGGTCAATAGGTCACCCGTGATATAACTTGCTAAGTCAAACAACCCCTGTGGTCCAGTTGCTGATACCATCACTTGTGTGTCCTATAGTACTATATCGCTTCAAATGGTATAATATTGTACCATATGATACTGAATTGTACCAAATGTACTACAGTACAAGGTGCTCTAATGTATACTGTGAAAACATGACCTCGTGATGTACGTCAAACATTTATTTAACTTCTTCAACAATACTGCAAATTGTTCATCCACACGAACATATTGCACCATTTGCTTCACTTGCTTCTTGTTGATTATTAAGTGCTCTCCGTGCGTCATTATTTGTTTTTTTGAAACATTATTTGCTCTTTGTTGCCAATTTTGTGCAGTATTAAAGAAATATTGTGCCAAGTATCCTCCTTGTTTAGCACATTATTCTCTTTGTTCTCTAGTATGTTTGCTATGAACATCCTTATATGCTCTCTGTAGCCAATTGTATGCTTTCTGCAACCCATCGACCACCGCTAAAGAGATGGGTATCGCGTTCACAACAAATGAACCAGTCCAGATATGTTTGGATGTAGGTGAGAAGCAGAGCGAAGGGATGATCCCAGGTTACTAAACTTTCTGGCAAAAACTGGTGTATACTGTAAGCGTGTCTGGGGATGGGAGGAGACTGAGCCTTCGGAGACTGGTTCATATTGTCTGGAAATGTTTCTCAACAGAAGCTTGGTTTTCCTGCCCCTCGAAACTAGTTCATGTCAGTGTACAAACAGGGGATGTTACCATGGTGATACAAGCACACAAAAGCCCAAACATACACACACGTAAGCACAACTAGCTAAGTACAAACCCGCAAACACACACACACAGTGTGTGAGTATGGGGTCTGGAAGCTGAACAGAACGCGCGCAGGACTCGTAATTCTTTCGCCCAGCTTCGATTCCCGGACCTGGAAGAAACAAATGGGCAAAGTTTCTTTCACCCTGATGTTCCTGTTACGTAGCAGTAAATAGGTACCTAGGAGTTAGACAGCTGTTACGGAGCTGCTTCTTGAGGGTATGTGTGTTTGGGTAAAAAATAGTTAGTAATTAGTTACAGTTGATTGATTGAGAGTTGAGAGGCGGGCCGAAAGGGCAGAGCTCAACCCCAGCAAGAAGAACTAGGTGAAAACACACACACACATACATAGGGGCCGTGGCGTAATAGGCAACGTTTGGAACTCGTGATCGCGGGATCCGGGTTCGATCCCGGCCGCCGGGGAAAAAGATGGGCAGAGTTTCTTTCACCCTGAAGCTCCTAATACCTACCAGTAAATAGGTACCTGGGAGTTAGACAGCTACTGCGGGCTACTTCCTGCGGATGTGTGTGTGTGTGTGTGCTAGCGATATATATATGTAGCAGACGATGAAAAATAGATTAGTTAGAAAGGCGGAGTCCAGGAGATAATAGCTCGATTCTGCAAACTAAAATAGTAAATACACACACACACCCACAGGATGAAACTCAGGATAAAAACACCTCAGAAATTGAAAGATTACTTAGCAATCAAATATAAAGACGAAAAACATATATGTGTACCAACAGAAAGACGTCAAAGAGGAAAGAATAATCTCAGACAGTGATTCAACAGACAATGACTGCAGGTAAAAGTGATGAAAAAATAGCCTGAAGCAGAAAAAGAGTCACAACAACTACTTGAGTGAAATGAATCCACAACAATAGGAACAAAGGCAGAGATGCATTTTGAAAACTATATAGCATGTAGGGCACAAGAACAACCTGACCTTTTTTAAAGATATTTATGACGACAAATGCCAGAGTTCCTGAAGGATCTGGAGTTAACGCACCTAACCCGCAAGAGACTGAGTGGAATAGAGGTAAAGTTAATGAAGGAATGAACTTACCTGGAGGAACCGGTTGCGACGGCAATTATTAGACCAAACAAAATCCTAATGAGAGTCCTGAAAGAGACAGTAGAGGCACTGAGTAATTTCCTTACAATGCTCTCCATCTGAACATAGTAACGAATGAATTCCCACAGTTTTAAAAAAAAACAAAACGCTAACATGTTCTCTATATACGTGCAATCCCAGGATGGACCTGGAGAGGCGTCAAAAAGTGACCTGTGAAGCACTTACAAAAAAAAAACGTGTTTCATCTCCAAATAAAATAAGACAAATAAATTCCAGTAATCAAAAACTGGTCCTTGGTTTTGAAATCCCTGGAACTCCCCGAGCGTGAGCGGGACCTCTTCATGGCGGGTATAAAAGGTCGCGCTGCCTCCAGTTCAACACAGTAGACCCAGACACACCAGAACCATGAAGACCCTGGTGAGTTACCCTGGCTTGTTCTGTTGTGCTAAGATATTCACTATTTGTAGCTTTCAATAAAAAAATGAAATTGCTAATGAAATAAAATGTAATTGATCTTTTCTTAACATCACCACTTGAAGTGAGGTTTTGATTTTTAAATAAAAAGTAGCATATTCTTAGCTTTAGGTTCTTTATCTTATTAACTAAAACGTATTATTTTAATGATAAAATGTTCTAAGATTCACTTTAACAGTTTTCTTGTGTGTAAATGAAGGAGAATCTTGTAGTATCCCGTTTCTTTGTGACGATTATATTTATATTTAGCAAATTATTTTGTTTAAAAGAAGAACGTTCACATTTCTCACGAATTTTACTTATGAAAGCTTAATACCATCGGGTAACATGAGTGTCTTCTGGGAAAATACAATCATCACATCTTGATTATATATTTCATTGACACTAGCACATCATACCACACAATTTATATATATATTTGTATTCATCCAACAGATCGTTATAGCATTCTTGGCTGCCATGTCCTTCGCGGCATCAAGCGCTGAGCCTTCCCCAGATGCCGAACCTGGTCACTTCAGGGGAGGTTACGGTGGAGGCTTCGGAGGAGGCTTCGGGGGAGGCTTCGGTGGTTTCAAAGGAGGATATCGTGGAAAGAGAAGTGCTGAAGCTGATCCAGAGGCTCTTGCCGAACCGGGACACTTCAGGGGAGGGTACGGTGGGGGCTTCGGTGGCGGCTTCGGTGGTTTCAGAGGAGGATATCGTGGAAAGAGAAGTGCTGAAGCTGATCCAGAGGCTCTTGCCGAACCCGGACACTTCAGGGGAGGGTACGGTGGCGGCTTCGGTGGCGGCTTTGGCGGTTTCAGAGGAGGATATCGTGGAAGGAGGAGTGCTGAAGCTAACCCAGAACCCGTTGCTGACCCAGGTTTCCACGGTCACAGAGGTTTCGGTGGAGGTTTCGGAGGATTTGGAGGGTTTGGAGGTGGAAAATATTATGGTTGATTATTTAATGACACGTCCGCTATTTTCCGTTTGACTGCTGCTCTGTATACCAAGTTTAATAATAAATAAATATGAATAATGCTATTATGATGAACTAATCTATATCCAAATTTATATTGTGTAAAGGAACATATTACAAAGAACGTCTTTAATATAAAAAATGATTAAGTGTTCAACACTAATTTCTTCTCTGAGTAGCAGAAATAGTACACTGAGAGCTGTACCGGTGTGACTGGTGGTTATTGGGTACTAGGTACAACACACACACACACACACACACACACACACACACACACACACACACACACACACACACACACACACACACACACACACACACACACACACACACACACACACACACACACACAGGATCCAAGAGTCAATGCTCGATCCTGCAAGCACAAATAGGTGAGTACACACACACATACACACACACACACACACACCAAAGAGCCAAAGCTCAACCCCCGCAAGCACAAATAGGTGAGTACACACACACATTCAGAAACCTAAATGAGGAGGCTTTTAGGGCGCTTTACACTGCCTACGTGAGACTCGTCGTAGAGTATGCCGCGCCATCATGGAGCCCCCACCTGAAGAAACACATAAAGAAACTGGAGAAGGTTCAGAGGTTTGCGACGAGGCTTGTCCCAGAGTTACGAGGGATGGGATATGAAGAGCGTCTGAAGGAACTGAACCTTACGACACTAGAGAAAAGAAGGGAGAGAGGAAATATGATAGGGACATATAAAATACTCAGGGGAATTGACAAAGTGGAAATAGATGAAATGTTCACACGTAATAATAACAGAACTAGGGTACATGGGTGGAAACTGGAAACTCAGATGAGTCACAGAGATGTTAGGAAGTTTTCTTTTAGCGTGAGAGTAGTGGAAAAATGGAATGCACTTGGGGAACAGGTTGTGGAAGCAAATACTATTCATACTTTTAAAACTAGGTATGATAGGGAAATGGGACAGGAGTCATTGCTGTAAACAACCGATAGCTGGAAAGGCGGGATCCAAGAGTCAATGCTCGATCCTGCAAGCACAAATAGGTGAGTACAAATAGGTGAGTACACACACACACACACACACACTTACACACACACACACACACACACACACACACACACACACATTCCCCTCCCCAAACACACTTCCAGCATACACCAGTATTTGCCAGAAAGTTAAGTAACGAGCACGAACACATAATGACGTACAGACAGCACGGTAGCACTTAACAGGCTACAGATTACAAGTGAAGAAGATGGTGCAATATGTTCGAGTAGATGAGCAAGTTCCAGTATTGATGAAGTAGTTGCCTAAGGAAGTACCTAAGTAACAGAAGACAGCGAGTCACTGTGAGGAGTGAGGTCTCGGAGTGGCGAGGCGTGTATATAGTGGAGTCCCACAGTGATCAGTCCTTGCTCCTATACTGTTTCTGATATATGTAAATGATCTCCCAGAGGGTGTAGACTCGTTCCTCTCAATATTTGCTCATGATGCAAAAATTATGAGGAGGCTTAAGACAGAGGAAAATGGTATGAGGCTGCAAGGTGACTTAGACAAACTGAAGGAGTGGTCCAACAAATGGCTACTAAAGTTCAACCCAAGTAAATGTGGGGTAATGAAACTAGGTGAAGGAAATATGAGGCCAGACACTCGATACTGAATAAGAGATGAAGTCCATTATAAGTATTTTTGTTTCTGCCCGATTCTGCCCGAAACGCTGCGCGTACTAGTGGCTTTACAAGAATGTAAATACTGTACTATCCAATGTATTCTCTCAAACCCAATGTACCTTCTTGTATATATATAAATAAAATAAAATTAATAAAATAAAATAAAATATTATTATTATTATTATTATTATTATTATTATTATTATTATTATTATTATTATAGTTAATATGGCGGTCGAGAAGTAATATCGAAAGACATATATAGATGTAAGTAGGTAAGTTGTTACAGGATGAGAGCTCCGCTCGTGGTGTCCCGTTTTCCCAATACTCTTTATCTGACTGTTATAGATTCAGCTACTCGGAACAAGTTCCAAGTAGCACGGGCCACAGGTGTGAACTAGTAACTTACCTGGCACAGAAGCGGGGCAAGTAGCACGGACTATGGTGAGCCCGTAGTGGAGGAATTACCTGGCACAGAAGCGGTGCTCTCTTGGATCATATGACGCTTTGCCTGGTTTAACCTTGACGACGAGCGGACGTTTGGACACCACCTCCGCCTGACCACGTTCTGTTACCGTTTGGCAGTATTCAACGGTCCGGTTGTACGACGCCTAGCGCATATGTCGCCTTGGGTCACGGGATTGTTGATAGATTTTGTTTACGTGTTCTGGTGTGTTATTCCGGCAGGGTGACGGTGTCCGGCGCCGGCTTGGTGGGCGGCTGCCTTCTTCTCTGCCGGAGGGCGCAGGATGACTTTTGTGTTTTAGTTGGGGGCCGAAATTTTGGTTTTGCTCCCCAGTGTTCTCTGTGTGGGGCGGTGCTTGTCACCCTGAGGGACTCCTGGGGCTCCCCAATCATCTGCCTGTCTGCGTTTCTTTGTCACATAGCATATTAGTTTCCAGTGATTGGCGTCACTTGTTTTGCTATTTGGCTTGGCGTTTCATCTCTCCAGACTTCGTGATTAACCTTTTACGGGTATGCCGGGGCGCATCCAAACCCCCCGATCGTCGTCGCCCCTAAATCAACAACAACAACATATAACGCTTTGAAACTACTGACATTGGCTGGTTGAATTGTGCTATTATAATGTATAATGTAGAATTGGACATATATTCAATGGAAACAGATGTGATGTGGATACTTTAAAACATTGGAAGACTATATAAAAGAGGAAAAGAAGAATGTGCAAAAAGTTTCATATAAATATTTAAGTTAATCCTCTTTTTGATATTGTTGCGTTTTCTATAATAATGATTGGGAATAAAGCTAAAAAAAACTCCAAATTTGGAGCGCAGACTTTTTTTATTATTATTATTATTATTATTAAGGTATACACAGAGACCCCCCCATTTGCCCTGATAATCTTTTCCAGTTGAATTTTAAAATGTAACAGTGTTTTGGCATTTACGGCTTCGGCGGGTAGGGGGCTCCTTGGGTTTATAACCCTGTGGGTGAAAAAGGATCTCATGTATTCTGTCCTGCATTTGTGGCTTGTTGAGCTTGAATCCGTTGCTCCTTGTTTGTGTTGCATCTGACCTTTTGTTGTCCGAATCAAATTATTCAGAATTTTAGGTGTTTCGATGAGATCAGCCTCATCATGTCCAGTTTGCAGTGTTTTAGTCCTGTGGCCTTCAACTGTCTCTGGTATGAGAGTTGACTTAGTTCTGGGATGACTTTTGTCGCCTTGTGTTGAATTTTCTCCGAAATATATATGTCCTTCTGAAGATTCAATATGCTTGGATACATGTTTGTTCCATGCTTGGATACAGAAATCCAAGTGGGACGCACTAGAGATTTATACAATTGAATGACTACATTCTTTTACTTGAATTCAAATCCTCGTTTGATTACTTCTAGTTGTTTTTCTTTTTACTTCTGCTCCCACTTGTTGTGCAACTTTCAATGATTGGTGGATTCTGACTCCAAGGTCTTCTTCTTCATCAATCTGCTGCAAGGTAATGTTGTTGATTTAGAAGTTGGCATGTGCAATGTTATGTCCCACACGCAAGTTCTTGTTTTTTTTATATTATAAATAATTTGCAAGTACTCCGAATATTTGTTGCAACCCGTCCTCGATTCAAGTCCATTACATCCAGCAGTTGACCCTACAGACGCATTCATAAACTTTTACATGCTGTTCGTTCAAAACAGGAATTTTATCATATATAAATTAATATTATAATATATTAACATATTGTGCATATATAGGCATAGGTTAGGTTAGGTGTTTAGGTTCTGTTGGCGATTATTTGTATTTGTAGCACATGGGTGAAGCATTTATAGCGTTGTGATTCGAACAAAAGTCGCCAGTGAAGCACTTGTTCCGGAAGTGTTCGAACGTCAGCAGTTGTGAGTCGTGTGTAAACCGTTTTTCATTCATAAACAGCTGGGGGTTTGGCGGGTGCATGGAATCACTTTTGGGTCTATGTTTGGAGGAAGGGTTGCATGCAGAACTCTTTGTAAGCCGCAATGTCATTTATATTGCCTACTTTGCCATAAATCCTAGTGTCATTTGCAAATTTAATGATGTGGTTTGTAATATCCTCATATATTACATCATTGATGTAACTGATGTATATCCTCATTGATGTATATTGTTTGAAATAACTTGTCATTTTATAATAAATAGAAGGCTTAACCTAAAATAATAAAAACTATGAGGATTCGTCCTCTCTTTATATCTGTAGAGATAATTATTAAATATGAATTATTATCCCGAACTCTATGAGGACTTGTCCTCAGTTATAATAACTCTTACATATAATAGATAATGTGGAAGGGCTGAGACAATACTTGTGACCGCTGCGTCACCTAGTTCCCCGATAACACGAGACTGTTGAGTAACTGACATTGTTCTGTTAAATCTCATTCGTGAACTGCGGTGTGAAGATTAAATCAAATACCTTCTATATAAATCAAATTAATATATTTAATTCGAATTCTGTAACAATTCGAACTTAAATGGCCATCTCATAATTTAATAACTATTGATTCTCACACGGACGGAAGTGTCAGGGTGAGGGAGGAGGAGGAGGAGGAGGAGGCTATATTGTTTTGAAACACGAGACGGAGCAGAACCTCCGCTGCGGTCACTACAGATCTACAGTTACAAATTCCTGCTTATGCTGCCTTAAAGCCGACCAGCTTAGTTCAGGACAGCATTAATGTCTCCGACTAACACTTGCGATAAGTACCTCGTGAAAAATTACTCGTTTTTGGCCATTAACAGCAATAATATCGTAGTAGATTGTTGGGTTAGGCTGCTAGATTACCCTACAATACCTAAGTAAGAACCCAAGTTATTCAAAGTTCTTGCTTGCTTAATAATGATAATGAATAATAACCAAATTTATAAGTTTCAATTTTAATGATTAATTCGCCAACAGGAGAAGTGGTATGAATAT